ACCATCACATCCTGAAGTCAGCCATGTGTGCTGAGGCCATCATTGCTGGTCTGACGATGGAGACTCTGGAAGGAACAACCTTGGATGTGGGCTGCAGTGGGGAAGAGCTGACCCTCAACGGGAAGCCCATCATTGCCAACAAAGATGTCTTGGCAACCAATGGTGTTGTACATTTTGTTAATGAGCTGCTGATCCCAGACTCAGGTACTAGTGTCTCATTGTTTCTTTCTTTCTGTTGCCTTTCTTTCATCTATTTTGCCAAGGAAATACTGGATTTAGAGGGTGCACATATTTTGTTGTGATGGGTAGATGGCATTTAACGCAAGGTTCCGATGTGTTGCTTTTCTTTTCAGCTAAGACCCTGTTTGAGTTGGCACAAGAATCTGAAGTTTCCAAGTCTATGGACCTTTTCAGACAAGCTGGTCTCAGTTCTCATCTAACTGGCAGTGAGCAAGTGACCCTCCTTGCGCCAGTGAATGAGGTGTTCAAAGGTAAACTGAGAAGTAAATCCCTTTCTTCCATCAGTTTGGGCCACAGATCTCCTTCAGACAGTCTTCAGCCAAGTTTCAGTGCACGAGTAGGCAAATCCCACCTCAAATACTCAGCTATAGGCAGTGGCACCTAGCTTTAAAATTAAAAACTGGTGTGGTTAATACTCTATATTTGGACTTTTTTAATGTCTTATTGGTCATTTTAAGTGAATCACTGGTTCTTTCCATACTTTTTGCTGCAGATGGACTCCCCGTTGTTGATAACAACATGAAAAACTTACTTCTGAACCACATTGTTAGAGACCAGCTGTCCTCTAAATATCTTTACCATGGGCAGAAACTACCGACTCTGGGTGACAAGGAGCTGAGAGTTTTTGTGTACCGCAATGTAAGTTCCTGCTGTGTGCAGTGCTGCCTTATAGAATCATAGAATGGTTTGGATTGGAAGAGACCTTAAAGCTCATCCAGTCCCAACCCCTCTGCCATCAGCAGGGACACCTTCCACTAGACCAGGTTGCTCAAAGCCTCATCCAGCCTGGCCTTCAACACTTCCAGGGAGGAGGCATATACAACTTCCTTGGGCAACCTTATGATGTTATGATGTGGCCATTGTGTAAAAAGTGTTAGTGAACACCGTGGGAAGTATAAAAAAACCTGTCTTTCGAAGCATATGTTAATAATGTCTTCTTTTTTTTTCTGCCATTTTGTTTGCAGAACCTTTGCATTGAAAATGCCTGCATTGCTGCCCATGACAAGAGAGGAAGGTTTGGGACCCTGTTTAGCATGGACAAAATGTTGACTCCACCATCTGGCTCAGTGATGGATGTTCTCAAGGCAGACCATCGTTTCAGGTGACCTTTCTGCTCTTCCTAAGGGCTAGTTAGGAGCAGAAGAGCTGCCAAAGCAGTTTCTATTTGTTATGGGTTGTAGTCATGACTATATATATATATATATTTTTAACATAAAGAAAGCATCCAAAACCACGGTCTCATCCTTAAATTATAGGGAGTGAGACTTCAAATAACCCTTCAGTGAACTCTGAGGCAAGAGTGTGTGGTCCCCCTTAATACAGTAAGAAGCTGGCTTCAAAGCCATCTCTGCCCATCAGAGCCACTGTGGCCAGGCCTCTCTGTCTCCTCACTACCATCTGATCCCCAAGGATTCAGCATTCTCAGGTTGCATTATCATTTCTCAGATGTTCTGGTTGGACCTCATTGGCCCATTTCCTACCTAATCAACTTTTTGGTTAATTGATTTGCTGGACCCCAGCAGAATTTTGCAATTGTAACTTCACATCTCTCTTTTGAACACAACGTGCAATTGCCCAAAGACTAACAGAAGTAGCTTATGGCGAAGTGTTTTATGGATGTTTGTCTTGCAGTACGTTGGTGGCTGCAATCCAGTCTGCGGGTCTAACGGAGAACTTGAACAGGCCAGGTACCTTCACAGTGTTTGCTCCAACAAATGAAGCTTTCCGAGCCATGCCCCAAGGGGAACTGAACAAACTAATGGGTGAGCTTTTGTAGAGCATTTGTAGAGCATTTAGATGAACAGCATATTACTGGCACGATGTGGGAGGAACGGCTAAGTTTCTCTGCCATATCTCATTCTTTGACCCTGTCTGTTGGAAGCATGGGCTTCCTACACAACTGGTTTGGATAAGCCCTATCTAGCAGAAGGCTGAGGATGCCAGAGTGGCACTGAACTCTCACACAAAACATGGGCATTGGTTTATCCTTTCCTTATGCTAGGAAGACATGTTTGTAGGTAAGTGCTACAAACTTACTATGACTTCAATTTGGCTGTGCTGGCAGGTGTAAGCAAGATAACTCTAAGGTGTTTCTAGAGGAACTGGTGAGATCTCTTCCTTTCTCAAGGATGAAAGAAGTGAGAATGTGGCTGTTGACCACATAGGATCTGGGTGTTTAAATTAAGTTTTACAAATAGAAAACCTGGTCCACATTCAGCCTGAAATTACACTGTATGAAATTTAAGTAGTGAAAGGATGGAGCTGTTGCTCCATTTATGTGACAAAGCAAAAAGTCCAGTCTGATCCTGAGAAGACAACAAATATTCCAGCCTAGCACAGACGAGGACCAACATCCTGAAAAGCACAGGCGTGCTGGCTAGGTGTGGAGAAAAGCATGGGAATGTTTAATAACGTTCTTCTGGATAAGCAACACCATCTTTTATTTTGTTCATACTGAAAACCGGCTGTGGTTGGAAACAATGTCAGGTATTTGAGTCTCGTCATTAAAGCCCAACCAAACATTGACATCATAATTTGGGAAGCATCTGCCCTGGTAGTTGGTTATCCTTTTAAGTGCAGGGATGAGGAACTGGCAATATCAGACTGCACATCCAGTCTAGTGCTCCATGTATAAATATTTCAGAACTGTTTTGCAGCTATTGTAAACGGCTGCAGGAATGAAGTATCCCAGATGCAGACACTTCAGATGTTCTTCTTTTATTTTTTCACGCAAATATTTAGCTTACGCTTCTGATGAAGAAGTGAATCATGCTGGTGAGGACATGCAGTGTGATCTGTGGCCACCCTAGAAAACTTGGAATGGAAAAAAGCTCATAGTGTGTTCAGATATGGGCAGTGAAACAAAAAGTCCCCCTTGCTGAAGGAGCTGCTCTGGTTCCGTAGGTGATGGTCATCTCTTGCTCTAGCTGTTCTCCATCGCCTGTCTGTGGGTTTTGTCAGCAACACTGCATCCTCTAAAGGAGAAGATAGAGGGTGGCTGCTGGCCCGTGCTGAGCATGTCAGTGTCTCTTCTGGAAAACAGATGGTGATGGGGAAGTATCTTATCTTCCTAAAAACTGTTTCAAAGTGCAGCTAGATGAGTAGAGCCTCAGTGGGGTGGGGATCAGGCCAGTAATCTGTGAGCCACTGCTGATGTTTCTCCTGCACTTTTCCCCTTCCTACCCAGTTTCAGCCATGGAGATAGTTGCCAAGTGACACTGGTGTTGGCAAAAGTATTGACATTTGCAAATACCAGAGTGCTCTGTCTGTTGCCTTATTTCACACAGACCTTTTTCCTCCCTGCCAGACATCCTTGGGAAGTGAAAGCAGCAGCAGAAGTAGGTTCATGTTGGGCACAGTGAGAGAATGAGGGACTGAAAAAACAAGATATAGTTGTTTCATGTATAGGGCAGGTTTGGTACGTACCAAGGTGGGACATTGGGAGAGTGTCCTTCTGGATTCACTGGGATTCTGACCTGCCGGGGCAGAAGTGGCCTCAATGTCCTAACCAGCTCCAACCAAGGTCCTTCTGCCTGGTATTTTCAATTTTACATTGTTTCCTTGCACTTTCAGGAAATTATGGTATTTTCCATGTGATCTCATTCCAGCACATGGAATATGGGAAGCCAGCACTGATGCTGTTTTGCAAACGTAAATGTTTTCTTCCCCCAGGTAATGCCAAGGAGCTTGCCAACATCCTCAAGTTCCACGTGGCTGATGAGATCCTGGTGAGCGGAGCAGTCGGTGCCCTTGTGAGGCTGAAGTCCATGCAAGGAGATAAACTGGAAGTCAGCATGGTGAGTCACCTCGGATGGGGTGTCATGGTTAGCAGGGCTGTGGTCTGTGTTTAGCTGTCCATGTTGAGGACCAAACTAAGTCTCTGCTCATTTGATGGTGTGGGAACCTCTTCTAAATGTGTGCACAGCAAGCAGCATTTTCCAGGCTGTAGTGAAGGGACTGTTGCCATGTGTTCTATTCAACAAGCTGGCAGTCAAATGTGGTTTGCTTCAGCTTTCTCCCCAGAAGACCGATGGTAAATGATTTCCAGGAGCTGTTATAAATTTAACCCTGAGTCATGGAGGAAAAAGCATAAATAAATGAGACGAATAGCTTGTTCAGCTAACACATCTTCTTTTTTAGTGTAACAAAAATGATCTCTGCATGGGTTCCCTTAACGCAGCAGGATGTATTTAGATGTGTCGTTTGATTTCACAAATTCTGCACTACATCAAGAAAATGTACAATCCTTTATTGGTGAAAAAAAATATATATTTCAGAAAATAAATAACCATGACTCACTCTGTGCATAAGGAAGAAAGTGCAGAACAAAAATGGAAAGGCAAATATTTCCAAGGGTATTGAGTGGGCCAACTTGGGTGCTAGACCCTTCCTGTGTCCAGTCCTGGTCTGCCCTCTCCTGATGCCATCTCCACAGCCATCCCTCTTGGTCCCAGTAGCAGCGTCTGCTGCCACAGGGAGCTTGTAGATATGATCTGCTGCCACGGGACAGCATTCCCAGCCAGCACACCGAGAAGGTCCGTGCTCCAAAGCCTGCCAGCTGCTCCAGGACATGCTGCTCAGCCTATAATTTGTTTGTATAGTCTCCTTAATTGGCAAGAGGAATGAAAACGCCTACAGCCATCCAGTAAATGAATGAATGCAAAGTGAGGGCTTTCTTAATAACATTGGAAACCGCTGATGACAAAAGTTTCTCATTTTCTACTTTTTCTGTTTGTTTTTGGTTTTTTTTTTTCCCCTTTTCCTGAACAGAAAAACAACGTAATACATATCAACAAGGAGCCTGTTGCTGAAAGTGATATCATGGCCACAAATGGTGTGATTTATGCAGTGAACTCTGTCTTACAGCCTCAGGGTAGGTCCATGGTTAGAAATATCTAGAGCTGGACTGGTATAGCAGAGCTGCTTTGGGACAGAGAGGTGACACATGGCAATTGCTTCAGTTTATTGAGGAGGATTAGAAAGATGGGGACAAACTTTATAGTAGGGTCTTTAGTGACAGGACAAGGGATGCTGCTTTTAAACTAAAAGAGAGGAGATTTAGACTAGATGTAAGGAAGAAATTTTTTACACTGAGGGTGGTGAAACCCTGGCCCAGGTTGCCCAGAGAAGTGGTAGAGGCCCCATCCCTGGAAACATTCAAGGTCAGGTTGGAGGGGGCTCTGAGCAACCTGATCGGGTTGAAGATGTCCCTGCTCACTGCAGGGGGGTTGGACTAGATGACCTTGAAAGGTCCTTTCCAACCCAAACCATCCTATGATTCTATGATTAGTCTGTTATGGGATTTTCAACACATCCTCCAATATATTGTAAGGAAGTAACCTGTGTGCTTTGAAGAGTATTTCAATGCTGTCTGTGTCCCATCCTTAGCTTCAAGGCCTCAAGAAAGAGGTGATGAGCCTGCAGATCCCGCATTAGAAATCTTCAAACAGGCGTCGGCATTATCCAAGGTAAAAGACAAAAAAATCTCTCACTGTAGAACTACTGAAATTACATTTTGGTAATGATGATTGGAAGATAATGTAATGTCATATTCAGATTTTGACTTCCAAAGAGAGTGAATGTACGTGTTTCACAGGAATGACCAATCCTCTCTTCTTCCATGATTTAATTATCTAAGAAACAATACATTTTACAACATGAAGCCTACAGTTTGCAGCACACTGTGAATATAACCTTGGCACGGTGCTATGCATATCAACCTCCAGTAATGTACGTGGTTTTAAGGAGTACCCATCTATAGCTTTTGGAGACTGGGATAAATATATTGACAAGCAAACTGTTCACATAGCTGTCAGAAATCTGTTGTATTTATGCAAATCTCATATTTTCTTTCCATGCAGGTTTCTCAGAGGAATCCGCGACTAGGTAAAACTCCTTCTCTAGCTTATTTCTAATTTTCATCATATATCCCTGTCCCTTAAAGAAAGGTTTATTCTGTTGTCTTGCTGCAAGCAAGATGTAGCATCACTGAGAGGGGAGGGGACAGGGTGTTGCTGTGTGTCTGTCCCACCCAACTTGGTCTTCTCCTTGCAGCACCCGTCTACTCCCGGTTACTAGCGAGGATGAAGGAGAACTCAGGTGGATTCTGAAACGCGTCATGAGCAACCGCAGTCAGAGCCTCCATCCCATCTGCTCTGGCTGACAGCTAAAGAGAAGGACAGAATTGTTATTAAAAACCAAATATCACCCTTAAATTTATTTTTGTTTCCAATGAAATGGATAGGAAAAAATGAAAAGCCATATATATATGTATATATTTTAAGACTGTTTTTATTTGGTTTTGACCTTAAAGTTCCCACACTGAGGATAGGTTTGGTTTTGGGGGTTTTGTTTTTTTTTGTTTTTTGGGGTTTTTTTTTACAAAGTAGTCACTAATTTGCAATTTTTAACATACCCAGTTTTGGGCTTGATATGTACATAAAAGGGCAGGTGCTTAATTCCTCACCTTGGTGCTGTCTCACTGGAGGAGACCAAAAGGGGCTGAATCCTGAATTGAAGCCCCTTTTCCAGGCTGCCCGTGGTACCCACTGGCACTGCAAACTCCAGGCTCCCAAAGTGGGAAGCCAGGTACGATCCCACTGAAAACCCTCTCCAAACCAGTGCCAGAATTGGGAAATTTTGGCCAGAACGACTTGGAATTGTGTATTTTCAGCTTTCTGAGCAAATATACAGCACCCAATACAGCAATTGCTTTGGAAGAAGTAAATTTATTGAATTAATTAACCATTACTCCATTTTTTTCTTTTTTTAAAAAATAAGCATGTGTTTCCTTTTTCCCCCATGTTTTAAAAGTCTTCCATGAAATTCTGAATTGAAGGCTTTTAACAAGAGCCTCTCTATTGAAATTAAGGAAACTGCATAATTATAAGCTATGGTTTGAACTGTTCTTTTTTGGGGTTTTTTTGTTTGTTTTTGTTTTTGTTTTTTTTTTTAAATTGGGTTTTGATTATGCCTATGGGTTTTAACTGTGCTGCATTTTGTTCACAAGATTGAAATGAGAGTTCTCCCTGGCTGAAGCCTTCCAGTAAATGATTCATTTTTAATAATGGTTGGGTTTTTTTTATAAAAATTAAAAATAAAATCAAAAATATAAATATGACAAGTGATAGTAGTGATTGTTTGGTTTTTCTGCATGGTTTGTATTGCCTGATGGCACAGTGTGACCACCTGAGCAGTGGGAAGGACAGGTCAGATGTGGTTGGATTGGTATTTACAACTATTAGTAGTTACTAGAGTGGAATGGCAAAGCATTTCTCCTCTCTGCTCCTGGCCTGTCATCATTTTTTGGTGCTACTTTCATGAGTAGTTGATGTTTTGCACTTCAAGGAGCACAGGGCAGCTGTGTGCATCTCTCCTGCTGGAAGCTCAGCACTGTCTGCCCTGATGCTGCCAGCACTGGTTCACCCCATCAGGGCTTTATTTTCACTCCCTGGCCAGTTCTTACCTTGGTGAAACCCAGGATTATAAAGGGAAAAAAACAAACAAAAAGGAGTATCAAGTGCAGAATACAAAACCCAGTTCTTACCTTGGTGAAACCCAGGATTATGAAGGGAAAAACAAACAAACAAACAAAAAAAGGAGTATCAAGTGCAGAATACAAAAATTCCAGATTGTTTTGTTTGCTGTGGCTGAGAAACACGCTGGTAGTTTTTCTTCTGTTAAAAACCCAACTTGAAATCCCATCTGCTGTGAGCCATCTGCATAATGCAAACGTGTGAAAAATAATCAAGCTCTTCTTTTATTTCCCTTCCCCAACCTCTCATCTCATCTTTTTATTTTTCTGGCATGATGCAGTCCTGTTATTTGAGGCTGGAGTGGGGATGGGGAACCCTTTGAGCCACCTATTCCCAGCAACCCAAGGAAGAAGAGTCGTATCAGGGGACTGGCTGCTGGGGGAGGATCAGCTTTTTGTAATTAGAATAATTAATTACTTACTCCTACAAAAGCCTGAGAGAGAGGGAAATCCACCTTGTGTCTTGCTCAGGAGTAGCACATGCAATTGCAAGGGCAGGGTCTTGCCTTTTTTTTATTTGCTTAGGTTTTTTGTTTGTTTTTGTTTTCTTTTTTTTTCTTCCTCTCCTTTATGACTAAGTCCTTCACAACTTGGAAAGGTGAGAAGTAGATCTGACCCTTATCTAGGTGAGTGCCCCTCTGCTACCTTTTTGATGTCTGAATGAGTGACTAATTAAGTGTTTCTTTGCAAAATGAAAGTACCTGAGTAGATGGGAGTAGGAGAAGCTTTGCTTTGACATGCTTTGTAACTACAAAGTCCCATCTGCTGAGAGTGGTTTCCGTCTCCTCCTGGGATTACAGCCCTGGCTTTCCACTGCTGGCTTTATGGGCAGGCGTTGGGGCTGGTGGTGATGCACTAATAGTCTCCTTCATGTTTTGTGTATGGCCTGACTTTGCTAGGCTTGCTTTGAAGTGGACACCAGGTTTATGAGTCCCAGCAAAGTTTATAGTAGATAGAGGAGTGTTGTCCTTTCAGTCCAGTTCTCTTTTTGCTCTCTCCCATTGCTTATCCTCTCTGGCCCTCTGGCAGTCCTCCTTCTCTTGCTCCTCTTGCTGCCTGTTCCATCCACATAGCTGCTGTGGGGTGCCAGCAGCAGCTCCTCGTGGTCCTGAGGGTGTGGGGCTGGTGTCCCTGTTGTGTTGCCTCTATAATTTCCTTGGGATCCACATCCTGGGAAGCCATTCTGGGACACCTTCCCACAGGCTTTGTGCTTGGAAGCCTCCTGGGGCTTTGGTGTTTTCAGATGACAGTTCATGCTGGTGGAAACTCTTGAGATTACTTAATTCCTTACATTTCCCTGCTCCAAGTTGGTTTCTCACCCCACTGTGCTCAGGGAGGGTTACCCAGATGGCCCAAATCAACAGCAATGGTTGAGCTGCTTTAGCTGATCATCAGGGACTGCGTCTCTCACTTTGATTCAGTGACACTTCGGGGATGTTCTCCCCTAAGGATGTTCATCCTGTACCTTACCCACTGCAGAGTGAGGCTGTGTGCTGGCAGTCATCTCACCAAAGGGAGTGAGACACTATTGCTTCAGTCTTCAAGGGGTGCAAAGGGAGGAAGCGAGAGGAGAGCAGCTGAAAGATGGGGAAATGAGGAGTGCTGAGATGATGGGAATATGAAACTTTCCTGTCATTTTCTAAAAAAGATATTTATTTTAATTATTTTTTTTTAATGTGACAAAAGGTGGAAGTAAAAAGAAGGAAGTCCCTGGTGCTGAGGAGAAACAGAACTCCCCCGGGGAAGTGCTGTCTGAGGGGCAGAGAGCTCCCACAAGTCCAGCTTGGGGCATGGGAACCTGAGGGATGTCCCAGATTAGGGCTCTGATGGGATGGAGGAACTTGGGGTCCCCTGTGTACCCACCTCATCCCAGCCTGCAGCTCCAGGAGTCTCCAGGCAGCAACAGTTTGGGGTGGGGAAAGAAACAAAGCTGGATTAAGGTGTTGCTATGATTCTATGACTTTTTTTTCCTCTTTTGGAGTCAAGAGTGTTTTTTCTATTGAAAATTTGCAGGAATGTGCAGCCACCCTTATTTATTTATTTATTTAGAATAATGATTCCTTCAGTTGCAGTGGCTCCAGTTCAATAAAATAATTAAATGTATGCAAAAATCCATTTAGGAAAAATACAGCTTTTAAATGTGTGCACTGAGAAGTCCTGAAATCCTCCTGCTGCCTGGTGACGATGGCTGGGCTGATGCTGGTGGGTAGCTCCAGTGCTCTCCTGGGTTGGAGCACTGAAATGAAAGCAGTGTCTCTGAAGGGCTAGAAAAGCAAATGTTGAATGTGAAATGCTGCATTCCAGGAAGCTTAATGTGGTGGTTTTGTTCTCTTACATTTTGAGACAAGAGGCAGAGACCCGTTTCTTCTAGAAAATTCTTTTACTTTCTGGTGGCCTTCTGCAAATATATTTAAAGCAAGAGAAAAAGCAGCATTGTGCTTTGTCCCAGGAGAGATCTCATGTGCAGCACCGTAGTGGAAAACATGTGCTCTTCCTGCATCATGGAAATCTTGGAGCACTGTTTGCTTGGAGTTGATCTGCCCCAAGTGCTGGGGCTTGGTGGGGAGGGTGAGGCTGGGAGAGCTGCGAGGTGGGCGATGGCAGCTCCCAGCACCTCATTATGTGAAAGGTGGAAAGGAAAAAGACTTTGTGTGTGTCAAAGGCCAGGCAGAGGCTTGAATGAAGCCCAGACATCGCAGCCAGATGTGCTGCAGAAGGATGACCCCAAAAGTCAAACCTGAAGGCAGGGGTGAAGCCATCTACATGCCGTGGCTGGGAGAAATTATACTCCTTGCTTTTCTGCTGTACACAAATTCTTGTTTCTCCACATGATTTATTGGGAATTCGTTGCACCTGTTAGCTGTTGTCTCAGGAGGAGCAAAAAAGAAGAACTAAGGGTAATATTAGTGTTGGTGAAAGGTAGGTTTGAAGGAGCAATCAGCATCGGAAGCACACAGCTGTGGCTCAAGTAACTCTTGCATTTTTTTTTTCTTCTGAGTCCTTTTTGGTCTTTGAGACATTTAAGAGGTTTTGCAGAAATCTGTAAATTCCCCAGAGAAAAATATTTAGGGGGATTTTTTTATCCAAAGATGAATGATGCCTTACTGTTTTGTAAAATTTTTATGAGTAAAGACTTTTCAAAAGCTCAGCACTTTTTCCTAGAAGTCATTTGGTGCAAGAGCAGAGGGGTATCAAGTGTGCAGTGAGTCATGAGGCACAGTGTGCCACATGAAGGAATCCTCCTGCTAAGGTAGAATAACTTTCCTGAAGATCAGTTGTCACCTCCTGGAAAAGGAAGGTGACAGGAAGGGTGCATCAAGCCCTATCAGCTGACAAATGCCAAACTGGTTATATTTTAACTGTTAGTTCTGGGAGAAGAATTGAGATCTCTTCCTGTTTGGAAAATAATTGTGCAAACCCTGGAGGCCTTCTGAGGGAATTCATTGAATTTGTGGTTTTCTGGAGGCAGGAGGATGAAGTCATAGATTTCAGGATTTCTACCAGTGCTTCTGTGTAGCTCTTCTAGCTCTCTGCCTTTGTTTCAAGGTTTACAGTTGGGATAAGTGACCTGTTTCA